AAGTTGAACAAACTTTGATTTTGACGAGAATGCAGCTCCGGTTGACAAAATGTTATACCAAAATATTTTTTCTTCTTTCTTAAGGTAGAATAACCCTCTGCTCGGTTGTATTACGATTTTCGGCCCACCCTGTATAATAAGAATACCAAACACTGCAAATTATTTTAATTAGGACCCCTTTTGACAATCACGACTATCTCCTTGTTCCCTCGATGCGTCTTTGTTTTTTCTGATGTCTCGTCTCACTGAATTGATCTCATTAGCAACACCTGACACCGTGTTATAACAGTGTTCATCTCGCAGACAACAAGAGTCTGCGGTTATATTCATCCGCAACAGTATAACTAACAATATATAGAATTACAAAATAATTCTGTAACAATATGTACTGGCGGTTGATCTATTGATCATTGCCTCGCATTGTTAGAAGCTGTCTCAAGAAAATCTCAAGCTTCAACAGCATACAAGGTGAGTCTCGAACATGACGACGTCGAATAACACGTAAGGTATTTGTTGCACGATAAAAATTGTTGAACAAATGTTGCGTGACTTCCAAGAGAACGTGCAGTGCTCTGGTCTCTTTTTTATTTCTTTCATGTCTAAAAGTAATATTTGTTCATATTATAAATGTTAAAGTTTTAAATGAGACACTTAACGCATTCCTTTTAAGAATCGTCAGACAATTTTAATTATTGTAAAATATTTTCTAAAATTAAATTGTAGATTTCAAAATTCGTATGGAGTTCGAAACAGGAAATTTAATTTGGAAATTTCAATACGATGAACAAAAACATGTTTTGAAATAGAAAGTTGGGATTCACAAGTCACTTCTAATTCATGTTAATTATCGAGGATTCAAGTGTTACTATGTATTTTAACATTGAAAGTGAATACTAGGAATGAAACCTTGAAGGAATTTTAAGTTTGAAACTGAATCCTGACTTCGAACAACTCTTAAAATCTTTCTTGTACAATAAAAATTGTCGAACAAATGTTGCATGGATTTCAGGGGGGCATGCAATGCTGTGGTTTTTTGCTTCTTTGCTTTCTCGATGTGAAAGCTTCAGTTTGTTTAAATAGAATATCCAATATTTTTTCTCGAATTTCAATAAAGCACCAAATTAAAAAAAGATTATAAATTTTCTAGTAGTGTCTTAGACAAAAATTTACAATGTGTTTGACCTGTTAGTGATCTTTGAATGAAATATGATATAATGATCTGGTGAGCAATTATCCAAATTCGCATCAAATCTTCATTTCCCACTTTTCGTGGTCAATTTCACGAATGCAGTTGCCATATTTTTGGAATCTTTTATTAACTTTTTGCGGACTCGTGTCAGCATATAGCTGCCCAACTTAGTTCACAGCTACAAGGCGTATTATGGAGAGCTACGCGTAAGTCTATCATTCTGAGCGATAAGATACGCATGGGTGTAATAGACTAAACAGTCTGGTTTCCTTTCAATGAAATTACACTCCTGTCCGCAAAGGGTTAATTGCAAGTCTTTTACAAAAATAGAATGCGATGATTGATCTTGATCAGGATACTTGGTTTAGTATAATACTTCAGCTCTTTCAGTATTTTTATTACATGCAACAATTTTCATACTTTTCTCTGTTACTGGACATCGCTGAATATAATATCGTGAAATGTAGTGCCTCCTTCAATGTGACTAAGTAACTGCTAAACTAACAATAAGCTGCATATCATACTATATCTAATATTATCAAATCATCATAGATCATATGTATATCTAACATCTAACGAAGAAAGTGTTTACAAACATGATTTGTCATCGGAAACAAAGTCGTATTAATAATCACGTTGACTGAAGACATGAAGTACTTCCACTATTTCTTAATAGAAGATTTGAGAATATTTCAGTAATCATTAGCATAAATCCTCATTGCCAGTATAGAATTTGATGCTTTATTGAAATTCGAGAAAAAATATTGGACATTCTCTTTGAAAAGCTGAAGATGACCCTCATATCTCGGTAAAAAAGCAAAAAAAAACAAAAAGTAGATCACAACATAGCATTACCTGGAATCCATGCAACATTTGTTCAACAATTTTTGTCGTACCACAAATACCTTATTTGAAATCTTTATGTTATGAGACTCATTCTGTACATCTTAGAACAATGAATCTCTACCAGGTTTTTATTGTTAATTTCACCTAGGAAGATACGAATAGAAAATGGTATTAAATCTATGCCTTACTCTGTCGATTTGGCGTTAATGTAGCTTGATTTGCATCTACTTATTAAGAAATAATTATGTATGTAATTTTGTTTTGTAATTGAACGTAAATAAATGTTGAAAATACAGACAGTACTGATGGCTTTTCTATTTCTTCATTTATCTGTACCCAAATATTTCATAAGAACCCAATTTCCATTTCTTCCTTAATTTGGAAATGTGTATCTGTATGCATGTTTTCTTATACGTCGATTTAAAAATTTAATTAAAATGTAAAACATAATATATATTAATATTGGATTCAGTTCTCCAATTGATTTTTGAACAATTACAGAAAATCTGTTAGTACTTAATCAAACATGTTAATTGTGTATTGAAAAATCAAGACATAGATTTATTACTATTTTCGGATCTTATCAACCTAGGGAAAATTAACGCAATCAAAAACAGGTAAAAATTCATTGTCAATCACAAGCTGTACACACAATCAAATAATTTTTGTCGCAGATAAACAGAGCTCGAAGGATAAAATTAACGAGGAGTAATATCCTTCACATTTTCCTCCTGATTCAGCTTCTCCTTCTCGTCCTTGTCAGCCAACTGATTCAACGTGACCTCGTAACTGCTGCCCATCTTATCAGACCCGATACACGTACTGAAACATGTGTCGTGCTTCCCGAAATTCTCGCCATCCTCTATCGTTTCCGGCATCGGTTGGTTCAACGTCTCCGGCAGGTACGTTGATAGAAACCCAGAAACGAGAGCCACACAGCCAAATAAAACCGCCGGCACTTTCGGATTGAACGAATCCAGTAGCATAATCATCGGAGTCAAAGCGCCGCTGAGACGCGCGCACATCGAGCCGATGCCCAAAGCGGTGTTCCTAACGACCGTAGGAAACAGTTCCGCGGTGTAATTATAGATAACAGCGAATGAACCAGCGATGCAAGCTTTCCCAAAGAGGACGATCGTCACTATACTCGTGGCTGCTATGTCGGTCCCAGTTGGGATAGTAGAAGCGATTACACAGCACACGCCACCGATCAGCATGAAAGTGCAAACCACGCATCTTCTTCCAGCCCGGTCCATTAAGAAGCACATCAGAATGTACGAGGGCAGTTCCACTAAACCGCTGAGGAATAACATGAAGAATGGATTGCCAACCAGGTTCCCAGCGTTCAACGACAAACCATAATACACTATAGAATTCGCGAACCAGTTCAGGCATACGTTTAACGTTTTCTTTCTGAGATTCGGTGTTCTGAAAAGGTCCAAGGCTCCATAAGACCGATCTTCGTAATCCACGGTCCTATGTTTCTTCCCTTCGCCGATCAATTTATCAGTATCTATGGCCACATTGTTACCGTTCATCTTCAAACCCTTTTGTATGATTGCGAGAGCTTCACTAACGCGGCCTTGGGCCCATAACCACCGCGGTGACTCGTCCATCAGCCACCAGTGTCCAATCATCAGCGCACTGTGAAGGCCGTAAACGATTTGTAGCCACATTCGCTCTTTTATCAGTGCGCCCCAAACCGACACCAGCATGAAACCAACGGCAAACGCTATTTGGAACATAATGCCACACATGGTCCTCTTCGACGGTCCAACCAGTTCCATCGTTAACACGAATCCTGTTATATACGCCCCGGCTGAACCAAAGATTCCATATAGGAATCGTAAAACGAGGAAGATGTAATAGTTGTCCACCAGGGCTACTGTCACACCGAGTATAAGCTGCGCCACTGCTGATATGTAGAATATTACTTTCCTCCCGTGTTTATCTGCTAAACTGCCTAATGTCACTGCGCCGATGAACACGCCGAACATGTACGAAGACTGAGCGGCCGCCCCCATCCACCTTTGCGAACAGACGAAGTCCCATTCCATTCCGCGAGACGATTGGAAGTATTGTGTATCGTATGTCCATGATTCACAGTCCTGAATTGTCTCGTTTAAGTCCAAATAGTGGCAAGCGTCGATCGCTCGGGGAAGAGATTCCACGGATGTGTTCCATTTCGATAATGTAATGTTAGGAGAGTCGGTTACTAAACTCGATTTGGGGACGTTGCATGTATGGGGTGGAACAGCGGCGACTGTTAATAGCGTCAACATGTGCAGACCTGCTGTCAAGGCGCCGATAATATGCAGCGAAAACTGCCAACATTGGTATTTACCAAACTCCCCCAGATGGGCCATCAGCTCTTCCAGATTTCTGTCAACGCTCGCCATATTGCCTTGGGAAATATGTCCTTCGAACTGTTTTCCTCGATTAATATAAAAAATAATCGAAAGCAATTATGTTGAAATTATTTCCTCTATGGTACCACTCAAGTCTTGCTAAGGAAAAATATTTTATCACAGCGATAGATGAACTCCAAAGGTCTCACGATTTTTTCAATTGATGGTTATTATCAACTGATTCTTATCAGTCCACAAATGAATAGCCAAGAATGTCTGGTTGTTTCAGCAGTTATTATCAACTAATTTAACTTACTAATTATTCGTTGATTAGAATCAGCAACTATGTTACGATTATAGTTCCACGATTTTGCTAATTTATGTTATCAACTAATTTTTCATGATGAATTACGGTTTTCTCCTGATCAAGAATGTCTTATTATTGCACAAGTTTTTGTCAACTAGCTTAACTCACGAATTATTTGTTGATGTATTATAATTAGCAACTTTAAATTATACTTAGAAGATTATGGTTATATTTCTCGGATTTTGTCAAGTGATATCATCTGATTTTTTATGATGAATTATAGTTTCATTTTGTTGTTTCACCAATAATTGTCAACTAGTTTAACTCACCGATTACTTGATGCATTATAATCAGCAACTAGATTACGATTGTAATTCTTTTCTTGTTCAAGATCGTCTCATCACCGTTTCACCAATTATCGTCAAGTGGTCTTTGTTAGGACTGTCACGAATTCGCATGATAAAATTAGAATTACGGTAATTTGGTTGTGCGTGTGCACGCGTGGACGTAAGAACGTACTGCACCGTTCTAATGTCCACGAACGACTGGACAACTCTGACTGGAAATGTCAACGTTAGTGGCTGAACAGATTTCTCAAGAAGTGCCACGTGTTGGATTGCAAGAATTGTTTCTCCTTTGCAAGAATTGCTGTCCTTGCACCGTTGCGGTCTGTTGTGACTCCCACTTGGACGTGTTTTAGTTGGCGCTGATCCTGCTAGTCGTATGTGTGATAATATCGGTGTAATCTGAAAATAAGTGTGAAACAGATACATGATTGACAGAGCACAAGTGAGCATGGGTGTTATGTAACATTTTCAGAAAATTCTGTTTTGTACCATTATTAATAATAGTGGCATTCTATGCAGCGGCTTTGACCGCAATACTTTTGGCACAAATATGGGGTATAAACACTTCATATATTCTCTGTATTACAAGCTTTTATTTTACTTTGGATGTGTCGAAATAAATGCTACTAAATAAAGAATATTGGCAGTAAGTGTAAATATTCTCAGGAATAACATTTTCCTAGTAATTCTACTCTGAAACTAACCATTTTGTCAATGTACAAAATAACTATGTCGAATTTATTATCGAATTTTGTATTAGATATTTTTTATAGACTTGCATAAATATCATTTTGTATTACATTAATTTCCTGGGTATATAATTGCTAATTTCTGTTTGTTGTAAAGTCATAAAAGTTGCTAATTGATTTATGGAGAACGCTTGAGTTATTATCTTTCAAGTAAGAAGTAAACTAGATATGAAGACAATCTCACTGAAGCAGATACATCACTGAAGTACCATGATGATAGATTGATAAATTACGAGATTACTGGAATCTACAATGAAATATTAAAACCCCAGTGACTATTCTTCCCAACTTCTGCTAGAAGCTACAACGTCTTACTGGATTTTTAAGAATAAAAACGGCGAATTTGTTACTGTTCAATCATGTTACACTATCTCCCATTCCTAGTACTCCAGCACTACTACTCTAGCACTCCAGCTCCCAGTACTTCTATAAAACGACATTTTGGTACCAGAAACAGTTTGATATCTGATCAGATTGAAGAAACATTGCAAAATAAAGAAAAACACATTTTACTCCATTTTCAGCCTTAGGGGCAAAATTCCGAAAAATCCTCCCTTAAGGTCTATCTACACTAACGTAACGTCACCACTACGTCAACGGTACGTAGGGTCTCTGTAGGTCGTAAGACGTATGTTCGGCAGCGGAACTAGTGCTGTAATCTTTAGGACAGTATACTTGTATGGAAAAACGAAAGAACCCTGGAAGTAGGTAGTGGACCCTAAACAGCAGGCAGTCCCGCTTGTCGATTCAGTGTCAAACGTGAGCCCCTGAGCTCCATGCTTTTACACGCTTTTCCCTATACCCTGACCTAAAGGCTACAGCACTGGTTTCGCTGCCGAACGTACGTCCTACGACCTACGAAGAACCTACGTGCTGTTCACGTGACGGTGGCGTTACGTTAGTGTAGATAAACCTTTAGTAAGCAAATCGTCTACAATATGGTAGATATAGATATGGTACATAGATATATGTATGTACAATATAGTACAAACTACCCAGAGAATTTCAAATAGATCGGTACAATAGTTTTGCTAGGCGTTGATGAATGGATCAGATAAAAAGCTTTTATTTACTACGTAGTAAATGTACTATGTAGATACTATAAATAAATTAGCACAAACTTTTCAGAAACTGTCACATTTTTCCCGTTATATTTCCTCTGAGTAAAATAAAGAAAGTAGTGTTCGTTTACTAATCTCCACGAGAATGCATGATGAGCTACAATTGCAACAATTTTTAAACGGGATAATAGACCTTTTTTAATGAAATTGTGCTTATATATGTGTGTATACTTGTACAGTAGTAATAAATGTCAAATAATAGAGTTTCAACAATGAGTAATTATTTTGATTTATAGTCATAATTTACTTAAGCAGGTTCTAGCGTCAAATGAGTAAAAGTAGAATCAATTGAAATTGTAATATTTTGTAGTTGACGCTCATTTCTCTTACTGATTGTGAGTGAAATTTCAGATTTGATTACCGATCAGAAGTTGGAGATCGCAATATTTGATACATGGCTCATGAGGCTCACTGGCTCGTGAAATACGACTAATATCTAATATTTTTTTATAGAAAAAGTAAATAGCGGATTTTAATGAAAAAGCGGACATACACA